TAAATAAATAAATAAATAAATAAATAAATAAATAAAGTTACTAATCTCTCAGAAGTTTCAGTTTCTTGACCAATGTATATTCATTAACTCTAAAGTGAGCCTAGTGATACTGCAAGTAAAAGTTTTTATTCTCTGTGCTTTTAATTCATACAGCTTTCTCTGAGCTGTGTGCTGATGACAGGGTTTTCTTGAATTAGGAAGTTTGCATCAGATAATACAGGATTTTTTAAAAAAAATTAGGGTCAGATTTAATTAGGGTCAGAATTAATTAGGGTCAGATTGGCAAGGAGCATGGCCTTTTTTTGCTTCTTTACAGCTTCCAATTTTTTTTTTTTTTAAATCAGGTGTGGCTGACACTTGCAGCATATATATTTTTTATTTTTATGTATTTGGTACAGGGTCTCACTATGCGGCTTAGACTTGGTGATCCTCCTGTTCTCAGCCTCCCCAGTGCTGGGATTACAGGCGTGTACCACCATGCCCAGACTTAGCTTCTACTTTTTAATACTACTTCATAGGCACACCCTGAAAGGTCTGGTTGAGTTTCTTCAGCCCTGGTGGCTCAGAGCACATTGTTGAGGAAGAGAGATCCCAAGTCAGCCTGTCTGGGTTGAATCTAGGCTGTTTCGTGTTCTTATACACAGGCTAGGTAACACGTTGAGTACACCTGTGCCCTGAATGATTTTTTAAATCAGAAGCTACCTAGTTGTTATAATCACACTTTCATGGATTTTTTTTTTTAAGCCAGTCAAACACGGATTGGTTTTTAACAAATTGTTTTGTGACATATTTAGTCAGCATTCTACTTGGAGCAGAGCCTATAAATTTTATTGAAGTTAAGGTATTTGCACTAAGTACATCCCCAGCTCCTTTTTTTTTTTTTTTAGAATTTTTATGTTTTCTTTCCTTTTTTTTTTTTTTTGCAGAACCAGGGATTGAACTCAGGCCCTTGCGCTTGCCAGGGAAGCACTTATTCTACTCTGCCATCTCCCTGGCCCTCCTTTATTTTTTATTCTGAGACAGGGTCTTGCTAGCTTACTCAGCCAGAGCTCAAACTCCATACATTCTCATGGGGCCGGGGGAATTGAATTGCACAAACATGTAAGTAGCAGATCTTGCTAAAAAAAAAAAAAAAAAAGAGATCCCAACATAATGTTTGTTGCATCTTTGTATTTGCCTCTTATTGAATGTCGTGTAATAATAACATTGTTATTATTAGTATTTTTTATACTAAAAAGTTAGTATTTTTTATACCAAAAAATTAGTATTTTTTCTCTTAAAACAGAAGCAGTGAGTCGCGGGCCTTGAGTGGCAGGGAGCGGAGCGGGGAGAGGCGCTGGGGTGAGAGTCAGCCGGAGGCGACCGGGGCAGCCGCCTCCGCCTCCGCCGCCCGGGACGAGGGGTGGGGGACGGGCGAGCCCTGATGCCGGGGAGACGGAGGAGCCGAGCCCCCTGGAGCAGCAGGACCAGGAAGGGGTAGAGGAGGCCAAGGCGGGGACCACGAGCAGCCTCGCTAAGAGGCGGCCGGGATCCGGCCGGGCCGCCGCCGCTGCCGCTGTGTCCCGCCGTGTCCCGCCGTGTCCCGCTGTGTCCCGCCGAGGAAGGCCGAGTGCCAGCGCCATACGGCGGAGGAGCAGCCCCAGCGCCAGGCCTGCCGACGGCCCCGGGCAGCAGCCTCCGGCCGCGGAGCCCCCGTCACCAGCTCAGGGAAAGAAGAGTCCGCAACTCGTATGTGCAGAAAAAATAACAACTGATAAAGAACCCAAGGAGGAGAAAGAGGAGGAAGGCGACGCTGCCCTCCCTCAGGACGTTTCCATTGCTACAACCAGACCTGGCCGCGGCTGGCGCAGTAGCAACAGGACGTCGGTCTCCCGTGTTCGTGACACAGAGAATACCCGCAGCTCCCGGTCCAAGACTGGTTCATTGCAGCTCATCTGCAAGTCAGAGCCACTTGCAGATCAGCTTGACTATGAAGTTGCAGAAGAACATCAGTCTCCCGGTGGCATTAGTAGTGATGAAGAGGAAGAAGAGATGTTAATCAGTGAAGAGGAAATACCATTCAAGGATGACCCCAGAGAGGAGACCTACAAACCTCACCTAGAAAGGGAAACTCCAAAGCCATGGAGAAAATCGGGGAAGGTGAAGGAAGAGAAAGGAAAGAAGGAAATTAAAGTGGAAGTGGAAGTAGAGGTGAAAGAAGAAGAAAATGAAATTAGAGAAGATGAGGACCCTCCTAGGAAGAGAGGATGAAGGCAGAAAGATGACAAGAGTCCTCGTTTGCCCAAAAGAAGGAAGAAACCCCCAATCCAGTATGTCCGCTGTGAGAAGGCTGTGGCACTGTCCTCGCTCACCCTTGCTATTTGCATTAAATACCAGCATTTGCTGAAGAAGAAATATGTTTGTCCACATCCTTCCTGTGGGCGACTCTTCGGCTCCAGAAGCAGCTTCTGCGGCATGCCAAACACCATACAGATCAAAGGGATTATATCTGTGAGTACTGTGCTCGGGCCTTCAAGAGTTCCCATTTAAAAAAAAAAAAAAAAAGAGTTCCCATAATTTGCAGTGCACAGGATGATTCACACGGGCGAGAAACCGCTCCAATGTGAGATCTGTGGATTTACTTGTCGACAAAAGGCGTCTCTCAACTGGCACATGAAGAAGCATGATGCAGACTCCTTCTACCAGTTTTCTTGCAATATCTGTGGCAAAAAATTTGAAAAGACAGTGTTGTGGCACACAAAGCCAAGAGCCACCCCTAGGTGCTGATTGCAGAAGCTCTGGCCGCCAACGTGGGCGCCCTCATCACCAGCACAGATATCTTGGGCACCAACCCAGAGTCCCTGGCGCCGCCCACAGATGCTCAGGGTCTTCCTCTTCTTTCTGAGCCCCTGGGGAACTCGGCCCCTGGAGAGTGCCTGCTGCTAGAGGCGGAGGGGATGTCCAAGTCCTTCTGTGGCAGGGCGGAGCAGATGAGCCTCACTGCTGACGGCAAGCTCTTCGTGGGCTGCGGCGGCAGCGGGGGCCCCAAGGGGCTGGTCATGAACTCGGATCTACTCGGTGCTACCACAGAGGTTCTGATCGAAGACTGACTCCACCGGGCCTTAGTGGAGAGGAAGACTTTTGGGCACTGGGACAGTTGGGACTTTGTATTTAAAAGACAAAAAGGACACACACACACACACACAAATCTAAAGCATTTAAAATGTAGTAAAATAACTTGAAGGGCCAAAAAAAAAAACAAAAAAACAAAAAAAACAAAAACGGAAGCAGTGTGGTGGTACATGCCTATAATTCCAGCCACCCAGGAGGCAGAGAAAGGATTGTAGGTTCAAGGCTAATCTGGGCAACTTAGACCTTGCACAGCAAAATACAAATATTCATCTGGTTTCATGTAAGATGGAGTGACCATGCTCCACTGTGAACTGCCACTGTGACTGCTATTCAAGGAAAGAAAACCCTACCAGGGTGGATTGAGGAAGGCTAGAATTCAGACTATTGCTGAACCAGTGATGAGTCTCATTTTGTTTGTCTTTCTGGTATCCTGCATCCAAACAACATGTTGGAAACCTGGGAATAAGGACTGGGGTGCTAGAGGGAGTGGGAGGGAAATTCGAGTATTTCAAGAGAATGCAGAAATCCTGCTGTTCTATTTTATTTTTTGAGGGCTGGTTCAGCCCACCCTGAAGGTGGGGCTGGCACGATGCTGGGGATTAAACTGCTGTCCCCTGCGCCTATATAAGCTTGCCTGAGCAGGTGCTTTAGACTGCTGAGCTGTCCCACTGGCCCCCCTAAAGCTGTTTGTGAACACCTTGTTTACCCCTTTGGGTATGGATCCAGTCTCATTGAGTTTACCAAAGAATGAAGCCCCACCCGATCTCCAAGCTGGCCCCTTGATTTGAAACTGGGGAAAACTGAAGTGTTACTGAGAGCAGCCAGAGAAAGCATGTTACTATAAAAAAACAGTAATATGAACAACTGG